AATTTGACTTATTTCAGAAGAGAAACTAAAAGCCCTAATAGGGGCAAAAGGAGAGATAACAGTCCCCACGATAGTTTAAATAATGTATTTTGCATGGATCTAAAGGATGAGGAAGGGAGATTTGACGGGTATCGACCTCCATCCTTTCGTTTGTATAGGGAACCTTGTACAGCTAGCAGAAGGTGGCAGAGCCCTGAACTGCCACGTCTGTTAATTTGACCAACTCTATTAGTGCTGATCAGACAATCAAGTATCCTGGTAATCAGGGTAATTTTAAAAGACGAAGAAGGTACCGGCAATCTGAAGGGTTGCACAGGGTTGAAGATGAAAATATTAGGTATCAGCAAAATATATTAGATGATGAGAGGACATCATGTTCATTCAGAAGCAATTCAAGTGACAAAAGGTTTGAGTCACTTGACAACAAACATGGACCCGATCTAGTAGAAAAGCTTTTAGAAGACAGGCATGTGGATCATGAAAAATACAAATTGATCAGGGAAAGCAATAAAGCCAGTCAATTTGGTCAAGGGTCTAAATTTTTTCATAGAGATAATCGTTGGAGATTCCCAAAGGGGAGAGATTCTGTTGCCACGTGCTTGATTGTTGAGAACAGAGATGTAATTTTGTCTATACGAATATCAAGATTGTATACTTCCATATGTAAATATGAGTACTCTATATATGTTGGGTCTTGTTCCATTGTGCGATGTCATCCCATTCTTCCAAGGTCTCCTAAATTCCCTGTGCGTTTTATTCAATATGTTCCTTTTATCTGAAGTTTTCATATTGCCTTGGTTTTCTTTTTAATTTAAATTTCTTGAATTGGCCCTTAAAAGATTGGTCGTGCCATTCCAAAATCATATTAAGGTTGCTGTTCTAGGAATTCTTACATTACCTACGATCAATTGATCATCAATATTCTGTAGTTAATTATGGTACCATATAAATTTGTCGGTGACCATTTAGTCGGTTTATTTTCTTGATCCAACAAAAAAAATTGCATCTAGATTTTTAGTGACAGTTGTCATGCTATTGCCAGACCAGTAAACAATACAAGCGTAATAACAAAACAAAAATCAAGGCTTGATAGAAATTAGAGATGGTTAAATGGGATTTCTAGTTGGGGAGTAAATAGGTTCTAGCAGCAGGTGAGTATGATAATAATAAGTGGAAAGTTTATCACACGAGATAATAGTTCAATATGGTCTATGAGAGATAGGTTTTAGCTTGAATTAAGGCTCACTCCTTTGTGCTCGAGCATCAAAAGAAAGAAAAAGTAACCTAAAGGTGATGGTTGTAAAAAATAGAGATTCTAGACATCATAGATAAGGTTGACACTTGAGTGTTGAAAGCTTACTGAATATGATAGTATGTGATGGTAGGCATAGAGGTAAATACAAATACAAACAAGTACATACATGTTAGTATCAAGAAGTGGTTAACTTTATGAAGAAATATCAAAGAACAAGGTGATATCAAAAAGTGATTAAATTTAAGAAATGGAAATACGAACATGTACGTTATTAGGTGGCAAAGTTGAAGGATGAATATTATCCATAATATGAACCCGTTGCAATAGTTGGTATGAATCATTTACGTGATGGAAAAAGGTAAGTAAGATGAACGTTTTATTAGTACTCGGTAGGATTATAAAAGCATTTTTATAAAGATCCAAATAACTTGAGATGTAAAGAGTCCTAAGAATTATGCTCAAAAATAGAAATTTGTGAAAGGCAATGACATAGTCCGAGAGTATTACTAAAAGGAAAAGTTGTACACTATGAGTCTTAATCGACAAGTTTACAAGTTCCAAGCATGAAATATAATATTACTTTAAGTGACAAGGTAAGCCATAGCTCTAAATGAACTACATGATGACTAGATACAACATGAGAACCTATCATTCTTTATTTGTCATTTTCTCTTCTATTCAGGTTAAGATAAAGGTTAATATGGTTTTGTGCCTAAGTTAGTAGATTGATTATTTGGAATAGTGTCAGAAAGTTTATGTAAGGATCTTTGTGCATTGTCATTAGTACCAAGGATTATATAGATTTTGCATTTCCAACTCAACTATTTATAATGTGTATATAGTAACACCACCTATGTTGCTCGCACTCTCCAAAAATGTTACCGTACCCGTGTCGGATCCTTTAAAAATGCACTAAATTTGGAGGATCCGACACGCACCCAACAACATTATTGAAGAGTCCGAGTAACATAGATCACCACATTGCCATGTAAGCAGCAGGCGTTTTTATACAAAACTAGAGAGCACAAGCGGAGAAAACAAGTTGCGTATAGTTAAAACTTTAAACGACCATAACTTTGTGCTCGGTTGTAGGATTGACACTTTATTTTATATTTCGGGTATTTTTTCGAGATCTAGCCGGAGAAACTGCCGCAAGGCGGTTTGGTCCAGCCAATTTTTACGAAAACAGCCTTTTACCCATTCAATTTGTATTTTCCCCCAAAATGGTGTAGCATTTTAGTTCATTCTTATAGAAAATATCAATGAATAAAATGAGTTCCAAGTTGAAATATTTGCAGTATTGCGGATATGTATATCAATTTCAATGTGTCAATTTCAATTTCAAAAAACAAAGCAACTATCATTCTTGATTAATATCTATATTAAAAAATGCATGAATAATATTATGTTGCGACCTGGCTCATTAGTTAAGCTCTAATGTTTTGGGTATTGTTTTTACCATAACAACAAGGGTTCAAATCTTGATGAAAGCACCACCTCATTAAATTGCCACTTTGCATTTTATTGGTATAAGTTGACAAGCATAGTTGCAACGGTGCATGGCACTATGCAAGCGCAAGCATCCACCACCGCCACAAAAGTCAAACTACCGCCGTTGGCATCCCCGTCACCACCGCTATCACCACCATTAGGGTGTTAATAAAACCCCGAAAAATCGAACCAAACCTAAAATCGAACCAAACCGACCAAAAAAACCGATACTTTTTAGGTTTGGTCTGATGGTAAGCAACCTCCACTTCCAACCAAGAGGTTGTGAGTTCGAGTCATCCCAAGAGCAAGGTGGAAAGTTCTTGGAGGGAAGGATGTCGAGGGTCCAGCCTCTCTACCTCATGGTAGGGGTAAGGTCTGCGTACACACTACCCTCCCCAGACCCCACTAGTGGGATTATACCGGGTTGTTGTTGTATATTTTTATATAAACTTTTTGAAATTTTAGGGTACATATTAATCGTTTGTATTTTTACACTAGTTCTTTGCTATTATAATAATCTAATTCTTTGCTTTTACATTCTAGTTTGATTGGTATTTTTCTTTTGCTAAGTACAAGAATTTATTTCATGTTAAAAATAATCGATTTTTAATTGAGTAACTAAATTATTCATCACTATTTGATTCAATTATAATCAATATATCTTGGTAAATGATAGATTTCTCAAATAGCAATTGGTTTGATAGTATTAAGTCGAAAATTTGGGAGTGTAAATCTCATATTTAAGAAAAAAAACAGTAAATAACCGACAAAATCAAAAAACTGAATCGATAAAAAAACCGAATTAATTGGTTTGGTTTGGTTCCAATATTTGAAGAACGGGCTTACTTGGTTTTGGTTTCTTTTTGGGGAAAACCCGATCCAAACCAAACCATGAACACCCCTAGCCACCATCCCCGTCACAAAAGTCAAAACATAAGCCTTGGCGACACCTCGAAAACCCTTTATTTTCGACATAGTATTAGCATATCACTCTTGGCATGTGCCTTGGCATCGCACGCGACACCTCAAAAAACCTCTTACAGCTTGTTTGGATGGTTGTTACACATCGTTTCATAATGTATCGTATTGTACTGTATCGTTTGATAAATACAATGTTTGGATATATTGTATCGTTTGTCGTTATTCCATGATATCATGCCCCAACAATATGAAGAATAAATTTGCAATATTATAAAGAAAAATTATGATACGGGGTAATTTATTACATAAAAAGGTAGGGTAAATGATAAAATAAATTTATTTAATAATAGTGAGGGGTGAGATGAGAGAAAAAGACAAGATAACGACGCAACCACACCAAATCGGTCGTTACATAACGTGGCACATTTCGTCGTTATATAACGACGGATTTAACGATACGATACAATAAAATTTAAGTAACAATCAAAACAAACATCCTATTTAAAGTAACAATACGATACAATACAATAGGTAACGACTATCCAAACAAGCTGTAAATAGGCTGAATATTAATCATCATTTCCATGATTTTACACTTTCTCTTAACTTCCATTATACAACTCAGACAAAATATTTTAAATTAATTTTATGTGATTTATTTTAAAATTTTGTATTTCTTCAGACAGGTACACAAGCGCAAAGCGCGTACCCTAAGACTAGTACTATATTATAAGTGGCCCTTTAATGTTAAAGTTAAGTTACACAAAAGCCCATAAATTTTAAATGGCCATTATCATTCAATTAATTTTGTTTGAAAAAGAAGACAAAACAACTAAATAATTAATTAAACCATTGTGACTGTCTCTTAGAAACCATTATGTCTGTTGTCTCTTAGAATTCTGAGAAACACTCTTAAGTAGATACCTAATACCTCATGTATTTTTTCATTTAGTTCAAAATTTTATTGACAAATGGGGAAGCAGCAAGTGATTTGCTGGCAGATGAAGTAAACCGGATGCATGTGTGTGCCAGAAAAATTGAAGTTTGGTATTTCTTCCAAGGAGTTTATGGATATTTTTTGGGGTATCTAACAAAGTTCCTCCTTCAAATAGGAATGTATATTTTACTACGTAAACTGGTGTTCTTTACGCCAGCCAATAACAAATACTATTGTCTGTTTGCATTTGCTCAAAATATGAGAAAATTGGGGAAAGACCACCTTTTTTTAACTGTAACAGGACACATGCCTACACGAAAACAGAGAACGAAGAAAAAATATAACTCAAAACAATTGTCTATCTATTGATGAATATATCCTTGTAATGTTAGCCAGAAATTCTCACCTTTTAATCGTGCACTATTACTTCATAAAAAATACAGTAGCAAAAAAAAGGCAGGTTCAAATTCACGTTCCCACTTTCTTATGATTATTTCTTGCGCAAGTAGCTTTAACCTGCCAAACTTCACATGTTATCTATAGGCAAATTAGCTTCTTTCTTTTTTTAACCTGTCAATCCTAGCTGAAGAGTTGTGAAGTGCATCGATATTAAGTAATATGATGGTGTAGAAGAGATGAACTTACTTTAGCAACGAAAGCCAAGATGAGGCTCCTTGTGATGAATAAAGAAAGGTTTAATTTGTGGATAAAAATAGTTGGAGTTAATAGAACTTTTATTTCAGTTCTATTCTTCTCCAACAGTTTCTTACCTCCCAAAAAAGAAAGGGGAGAAAATCAGTTCGAGAAGAAGAGAGCACGGAAAGTTGATTCATATCGGTTGTGGGAATCACATTTTGAACTTAATAGTTAAGACAGGCTTAGAGAAGGCCGATGCAACTATTGCGAAAATTAGAGAAGGTGTTAAGCATATCAAGAATTCAGAAACAAGAAAAATGCCATTTGGGGAGTGTCTAAGTAATCTTGGTCTACCATGTCTAAGTAATCTTGGTCTAATGTAATTTGTGGAGTGTCTAAGAAACAATTTTGGTTTATTTTATTTTCTGAATAACTAATTATCAGTAATATTTGATATATTTTCTTTTTTAATTGTATAAGATCTTGATGATGGATCCGACTCTGATGAAGAAGATGAGATTGTTGTTAATCTTCTACCTTATCTTGCGAAACTTAGAGGTAAAAGTACCCTCTGTTGTTCTCATTATCCTTGTTTCTCTTTCTTTTGTTTTCTTAACTGCTATTAGCAATAAACACTAATGTAGTAAAGGGAAGAAAAAAAAAGAAAGAGAAAATGAGTGTGTCTGTGTGTTTTCTCTCTTGTGTCAATTTAGCTTCTCAAAATCTGTTTTCCCTTCAAAATTTACCTTTTGTTTTGTGTTGTTTCCTATCTTCAGTTCTTTTTGCTTATTGTAAGCATAATTTACTTCAGTTGTGTTCAATCAAAATTGTTCCCGTGATTTCAGAGCTTTTTGCAGTGTAATATTTTCTGGATTATTGTCAGAAAACCATGAATGTGTGATTAATTATTCTTGGAGATTACACAACTAGCACAAATTCAAGAATGGCCTGTTTTTCTTCATTACTTGCATTACTATAGTTTACATGCCCAAGAAAAGCTCAAAGCTGGAGTCTTTTTTATCTTTTGTAATGGCAAATTGTAACTTTTTCATCCAAAATTTTCATGTTCCTCTTCTTATTATACATAAGTTTCTTGATATTTGGCTCTTATAATTTTATTTTTCTGCAAAGTATGGATTTTTATTGAACATTTGTGGTTGAGTTCTGTCCATCTTTTCATTTTTTTCTACTGGCCACTTTGATGTTTTGTGATCCTGGCATCCTGCTCTTCAAGAATTGGTTGAAACTTTTTGTTCAATTCAAAAGTTTCAATCTTGTTGTAAGATCTGATATATTACTACTAAATTTTACAAGTTTGAAGCTGTGATTCTCTCATAATTTCTCCTTTTTTATTCTAAGTGTCATTTTCCTACCCTTAAAGTTTGCACCTTTTTGCTTCTTTTTTGTTGGGTTTATTACCTGCATTTTGATGGCCTTTTCTTAGGAAAGTAGCATTTCAGAACTGGGGTTTGTATGAAATATTTGGAGGAATGAAGTTAACTGTTATGTGGTGATCAATAATAGAAGAACTAAAGCAAAAACTATGATACATCTCATTGATCTTTTTCCTGTTGGTCGCAGTGGTGTAAATAAAAAGGAACTACAATGTGAAACCTCGACTATACTACTCCCATATAATGGATGAGAACCTGCAGATGAAGAGAATGGATGAGTGAATTTGCAGATGAAGAACTGATTAACCCCCTACAACTTGAATTGCAGATAAAAAGTCTTAGTGAACTTGGTATATTTTTTATATTTAATCATAGTACTCAGTTTTGTGAACTTTGTATATTATTAACAATTATTCATAGAAAGATTAAAGTCACAAGTTTTGAAATTGTTAAACTTGCTACAAATATTACGTTATCAAGTGGTAGCAAATTAATATTACTTCAGTAATGTTCGTGTGTTGCAAGTGGCAGCAAATTCATATTAGAGCTTGAGGCTAATGTGAAGCCATGGATGGATAATATGGTTACCCATTTTATCCGCCGGTTAACCCGTATTTTATCTGTATTAAATAGGGGTCGGGTCGGTTAATTTGTCTGTTTTTTTTTGTATTACCCGTTTTTTACCCGCACGTATCCAACCCGACCGTTTGCCACCCCTACTCATGATGAATAAAGAAAGGTTTAATTTGTGGATAAAATAGTTGGAGTTCATAGAACTTTTATTTCAGTTCTATTCTTCTCCAACTATTCTTCTCCAATTGTTTCTCACCTCCCAAAAAAAGAGGGGGGGGGGGGGGGGGGAATCAGTTCGTGAAGAAGAGAGCACAAGGAAAAGGAGCAACTAGGTTTATACATGCTACCTCTGTGTTGATGTGATATCAATGCAGAATGTATTAAAGGTAATTTGGGTTTGGGACATGGACATATGGACAACTTAACTATTCCATATAAATATACGCTTTAAAATTTGAAATGCAAGAATATAACTTGCTAGAAATAAGATTCACTAATCCAAAATTAACAATTAACCATTCTTGGGTGATCGAAGAGGCTTCTCATGTTTGAGCTTGTACTTTTCCCCCAAATTTCATGTTCTACATCATACATACAAATAACTTTAGCGTGTTTGTAGAGATCGCTTAATACACATGCAAGTTCACTAATCCAAAATTAACAATTAACCGTTCTTGGGTGATCGAAGAGGCTTCTCATGTTTGTAGAGATCGCTTAATACACATGCAAGGCACATGTCCAAAACCGTCATAGAACAAACTCTGTAGGCCTGCATCTCACAAGACCATCCAGCAGAAGCTACATGCTCCACATTCAACCTACACTACACTCCCTGGCTAAACGACTAGTCTGGATAGAAATTCAGGGATCTCAACTTCGACACAGCTTTAGTCCTTACAATGGGTTTGATATTTGGTGCAAGCGATGGAAGAATGCCTATGGAGTAGGAGGTGGCTACAATCTTTTTGCTGAAAGGTTTGTTCTTTCTTCCAATTCTTTGGCATTTATTCTATTTATGCTCTATATATTCTAATCCTCAAATAAGATTTCTATGTGATTCTTTATTCCATTATTTTGAGTCATATGATACAACGGGTAACGAAATTAAGATAAATGAAAATAGAAACTCCAAAATCTTTTTCAACTAACCTCTTCCTCTCTGTGATGGAATGACACGGGTAAACACTCCATGCTTTCTCAGCCATGTCTCTCTGTATATGTAATTTAGTTCATGTGCATATAAATTCATGAGCCATGGACCTGTTCAATAGATTCAGGATGTTTAGAAGCATATATACAATGCTCACAAGTAATGACGAATCTGTAACAGCAAAAGATGGAATAATTGAGTAGTTGATGTCGCAGTTGAACGTGGTGCATCGACAAGACTTACGAAGAGGAATATAAAGTATGACTAACGATGATTTTTTGTAACTAAAAATTTACAATTTCTTAAAGATTTTTTTTTTTCAATTATCCATTACATTGCATTTGATAAGTTTGAAATTTCAATATTAGTAACATATTAACCAAATTAATTGGAGGGGTCAACCTTTTTCCCCATATCTTATGTTGAAAGGTCTTTATATGCCTTTACTGTAGTATTGAAAACAATTATAATATAATTATTTATGGATAATTTTGAAGTAGCAAGAACAGACAATTGGACATACATTACATACTTTTTTCACAAAAAATGCATCAACTTCTCGTCTAAGAATATTGCTTTCGACCACATTATCATTGTAAAACTACAAAAAGTATAATGGCTTTTTTAGATCTATGTTTTTTTTTTTTGTGTATTTCAATATATATCAAGTCTTACATTAAAGTAATATGTTTTTGTTGTTATTAAGCGAATTATCACTTCTGTTAAATTTACGAGAACTTAGTGATATCTCACAGCGCTTACGTTAACTAGTTCTATTATATATAAAGAATAAAAAAACAAAAGCCACAATATGAAAAGGCTTGAATTAGACTTTCAGTGCATCATCAAAAGAAAAAATATATATTACTCAATTTTGGGACACAGAGAAAAAAAAAATGTTGCTAGACTTATATAAAAATTATAATACTTCGATATAGTTTGTTTTACCTTGCTTGTTTGGTAGATCTGGAAAGGAAGCTAAGAACAATTCAATCCCTCCCAAGTTGGAGAAAAGATATAATCTTGAATTGGTAGATCTAGAGATGGAAATCTCCATTATATTCAATCAATTGACTAACAACTGACCGTGAATTACAACCAAAACTACCACTACTCCAACAGCCGGATCCATTCTTTGAGATTAAGATATAGACAAACATAGAATCGATACATCTGATAATTGGGCCACAAGAATCAATTTTCAGAATTGATGAGGCTAAGATTTCCCATGAAAACAATAAGATGAATTAAGGGGTGGCTCAAATTTGGACGTGTGAATAGGAATTAGTCAGATAGAAGAAGAGGCGAGATGAGAGACACAGTGAAACTAGATTTGCTTCGGTCATTTTCAGAACAAAGTACACTCTACTACACGTTTATCTATGTGTCTTTGGAAAATCAAAACATACTACTATTACTATATACTATAACAAACCAAAAAATCTTTTTCCCTTTTCCATCACAAATTATTACTATTACTATTGAATTAAGAAATAAAAATTAAAACATCATTAAGATACTCCAAAACTTATTATAATATCAAATTTTTATAATAATAATACTATATTCCAATTGAATGAAATTTTAAAATTATACTAAAATTAAATAAAATTTATGCTTGATTTTACAATTCATAAATTTGAATTAATTTTTATTTGCAATTTTAACCTTATTTTTCTTAAATAATTTATAGAGCAGAGCTTGGACAGTGCATTTTTTTCATTTTGTGTTTCATCCGGAGATAATAATAAAATGCTAGGTAATTTGTCTTTTTCTATTTATTCGAAATTTCAAAATATTTATGTAATAGAGTAATAAAATAACTAATTTTAAAATAATTAATTATGGAGTTATTTGTTTCGCAACCAAACGATCACTTAGTATAATAATAAATTATAGCCACTTGTGATGTGCAGTGCACTGAATTCAGATACCTGCTTTGACAGGCCACTTCGCTGGTCATCTTGAACCAAGTGATGTATACCTTGGAAATGTAATAGTCTATAAATACAATATAATTAATACTTACATTATAAGTAATTCACTTATCTTTATATCTCTTTCGAGGAAAAAATATTCCTTCTTTCTTCTTTTCTTTTAATAAATTTTTATACGTTGATTTAATAATAGATAAAAATATGAAACTGGAATAAATATTTATATCATCTTTTTTGAATAATAATTTTTCAACTTTAAATTCTATATATATTTCTCAATTGACGTTGAAGTGATGTGCAACATCCAATAGTAAATGATATTTCATAAAAGTCTGTCCGCTAATTACTAGATTGGCTGAGAGATTTTCAGTATTTAAGTTTTAAAGTAGATGATTTTACTTCAAATTTGGAAACTTTGAGTTATACTCAAATTTGGATTTGTGATAATGTGAATAAGGGATTGTGAGAAATCAGGTATAGGAGAAGAGATCAGGAGAGACACAAATATTCAGCCCACTTGCATCGGAAGTTCCGTCAACCAAAGCACTGCAAACTTTTCTACTACCCTTTGGAAATGTAAAACCCGTTAAATACTTACTCTATAATTTGTTAATTCACCTAACCCTTTTCCTTTTTTGTTAATTAAAAATAAAAGCTATATTAACATTAAGAATTTTTACATTCTTATACATTATTTGAAACATTATTACCTTCTCTGTTCAAGTTTCAATTTAATTATATAATCATATAAAATTTATCAATTATATACAAATAAGTTTTAAATAAGTATTCTTTTATATTATGAATTGAATAAGGAATATCACCTATTTTTTTATTCATTTATACTTGTCTACTCTCTCTCTCTCTGCTTTTTTTCAGTGTACTCATCATCTAACTTTCTTTCCAGTAGTGTGATCTTAATAAAAGAATATGATTTGTGGCAGTAGAACTTTCACACTTAATTGGTTATTATAAAGAGTGTTACTATTTGGCCAAACTCACTGTGGCCCAACGATGGCCACACTGGTGAAATACCAGTAAAGCCCTTCATTTCAGATTTGGCTTAATAGTCATTTTTCCCTCCAAAATATTTCCCTCCAAAATTAGTTAATAACTATTGATTATCCCAAAATATTGATCCCATAAATCATCATTCTCTCATGCATGGGAAGATCAAAAGCCTTTGTATATGTATACCTATATTATTACGTATTTTTTTAAATACAATTTATACGGATGGGAAGATCAAAATTCTAGTATGTATACATAATATTATTTTTTCATTTATACGGTATACCTTGTTCTACCATACACTTATGTTAAGAGAGCTTTCATTAAACACATAATTCACCACCCTTCCCCTAACCTAAACACGAATGCTAACCTAGAAACTAGTTTGGAGCCATTAAAACCGAATAACAGCCTAGAAACTAAGTCGGAGCAACTAAGGAATGCATTACACATATCATTGGGGTTGAATTCGGATGACAGTTTGATGAATGAAGATGAGTTGGTCAATATTGATTCAGACGGCAACTTCAATGATGGAGAAGATCATGTTGACAATGATGTTGTTGTTGTTGTTGCTGCTGATGATGATGATGATGACATTCATTATTTAGAGGGAGAGGGAGAAGGTGGAGAGGACATGGAAATGTCTAATGAGTTCAATGAAGAAGATCTAGTAATTTGTCCAATTACTGGGATGTGGTTCAGTAATAAGGATGTTATGTTTGATTTTTACAAAGAACATGCAAGATTATCAGGGTTTGTTGTGATAGGTCTAGGAAACCAAGGAATAAGCATGTTACCAAGAGGAGGAACTGTCGTGCTAGAATAAATGGAATTTTGGAGAAGAATGGTTCATGGCGTGTTTCAAAGGTGGTTAAAAAACATAATCATCAATTGGAACCAGCACTATCGCGATTGATGGTTGGACACAGATCGCTTAGTAAGTGTCACGACCCAAAATTTCACTAGTCGTGACGGCACCTAACACAACCCGTTAGGTAAGCCAATTTCCAACTATCCAATTCCAATGAAATTAATAAATAAAAAATATCTTAAATCGATACATCTCCCCAAGAACTGGTAGTACAAATCATGAGCTTCTAAGAATAGAGTATACAAAGCGGAAATAAAATAAATACATAGTCTGTTTGAATAATACATAAACAGTCATGCAACCAGCGAGCACAGCAACAACAGCAGCCAACATCTGCACGCAATGTGCAGAAGTGTAGTATCAGTACAACTGACCCCATGTACTAAGTAAATAACAAACCTATCCGTAGGTTGAAAGTAATGACGAGCTCCTACCAAGGTCGGGTCCACAACCAATAGTACACAACAATCCATAAC